CACATGCTAGGTAAGCACTCGCACTGAGCTTCACCCCAGATTCCAAGTGCTGGGATTGCCACAATGGCCAGACTGGGCAGTAAGGTAGGTTAAACCTTAGCCTTCTGACCCCCTAAACTGTAGCTGAGAAGTTTAGTTCTGAAGGAGTGACCCCTCCCCCCACCCTGTTATTCCAGGTGCATTCCAACATCAGGCAAACCCCCAGGTAAGCAGGGCAATATGCCTAAGCCTGGCTGTTAAGATTCCATTGTGGGCCTAACCTGTAGGGACTCTGATGCTGAACTGTGAGACCAGGAAAGGGTTAGGAGGTTGGAATGCCAGAAGGCTGAGAACTGGACCCTGAGAAGGCCAAACAGTCAAAGCAGACAGATGTAGAGCTGTTCTGAACACTGAAAAGCTTGAGACCTTGGATAAGGGGGTCAATTATCACTATGTATGGTTACCCTATTTTTTGGGGGGGGTCGGTACTGGGGCCTGAACTCTGGGCCTGGGCGCTATCCCTCAGCTCTCCAGCTCAAAGCTACCATTCTACTACTTGAGCCACAGCGCCACTTCTGGTTTTCTGGTGGTTTATTGGCAATAAGAGTCATGGACTTTCCTGCTCAGGCTGGCTTTGAACCGTGATCCTCAGATCTCAGCCTCCTGAGGAGCTAGGCTCACAGGTGTAAGCCACTGACACCTGGCTTATTGGTTATCCTATTTTCTGCTCTCACCTGCAGTCACCTCCCCTGTACTGAAGTCAAGTAACCTCTGTCTGTGCCCAGACCCTAGAAAAGCCTAACTGTACCCCCACCACCCGACACTACTGATCCTGTGGGGAGGTTTGCTGTCCCTCACTGTGCCTCAATAAACAGTCCTCACCTGTGGAGATAAAGAATCTGGCCTGTTCCTTTCCTTTCTCCTCCATTTTCTTAACAAGTTCCTAACAAGTCAGCAAGAGGGAGCAGGAAAGATGCCTCCCAGAGCCCTGTGGCTCGTAGCCATTGGAGCCCAGGGTAAAGACTATGAAGGGTACAACTTGCCCTAAGAGGAATAGAAGCCTAACCTCTACTCCTTCCTCAGCCCTGGTGCAGGACACCCAAAGGCCATTTGAGCCTGCCTCTACGTGCCCTCCCACCAGGCGGTCCTTAGGAGGTGGTCAGCCATGGTAACGTGTTCCTGAGCTCAGGCCTTTGAAGGAGGAGAGAGCCCATTTCCCAGACATACCCTGTGTGGGGTCCTGGTGTGATTCAACAGATATGGGGACCCTGACCAGTCAGGGCCCCAGGGGGCTCAGGGGCACTCCAGGTGGAAGAAAATAGACCAATGTCCACTGGGCTGTCCACCATTGGGCGGGGCTAGTGACTGGGCAGGAAGTGCCTCACCCCAGGACTGCATGAGCTGTGCTGAAATTCTGCCCCTTGTCTTAGGTTCTCATTCTAGTGATACCCAAGCAAGTGAGGCAAGGGCAGGCAGCTGCTGTGTGCACAGAGGACCAGGAGGCAGCCAGAGTGGCTGACTTGGAGAGATGCAGTCCATGCAACAAGCACCACCATGTGGGGAGAGGAGCAGCAGGCCAGGCTCGCCCTGCCCCTTTGCCACGGCCCAGACCCTCTCAACACAGGAAGCACAGGCTTGCTGAGTTGGCATCTCCCGTCCAGGACCTTCTTGTCTGCCCTAGTCCAGACTCGGAGCTGTGCGGTGACAATACCCCACCCCCACTCCCACAACCTAGCTGCCCTCAAGCCTGAGTCTGAGACAGCTCTGTACACCTATTTCAGATCCTCTGGGGGAAAGGGTTAGAGTTCCCTTCTAGACTTGGTGCTGCTCCCTGTGGGGCCGTGACTTGTCATGGGCCCACTGCAGGCCCAAACCCCAGAAGTCCCACTTTAGGTCTGGCCTTTCACCTCCATATGCCAGATAAAGAGACTTGGTGAAGAGCAGAGAAAGATTTACTCCATGGCAGCCACAGGAGGACAGCACTTAAGTACTTCTTCAGTGTCTTCAGGGGTGCAGACATTGGCTTCAGGCTACATAGGGAGAACTGGGGACAGAATGAGAAAGGTATGCAGTTAACGCAGTCCTGGGTCACAAGGGCATGACCTGGCTGGCCATGGCTCAGTCTGTAACTCTGGAGGCCTAGCAGGTGGTCTCAGCTTTGGGCTGCTTTTTTTTTTTTTTTTTTTTTGGTCAGTCATGGGGCTTGAACTATGGGTCTGGGCGCTGTCCCTCAGCTCTTGAGCTCAAGGCTAGCACTCTATCACTTGAGCCACAGCACCACTTCCGGTTTTCTAGTGGTTTATTGAAGATAAGAGTCTCAGGGACTTTCCTGCTTGGGCTGGCTTTGAACCGTGATCCTCAGATCTCAGCCTCCTGAGTAGCTAGGATTACGGGTGTGAGCCACTGGCGACCAGCAAAAGCAACTTTTAATGTATCTCTTACACTACAAAGAGGCCCTTCAATAGGATGCCATGAGGGCCCCACACTAGCACATAGGTGAAGTGGACTCCACGGCTCAGAGCCCTACACCCTTGGGTCGCTAGAGCTAGGTCCAACACTGACTTGAGTGGACTGTGCCCATCCAGATGTCCATGCACACTCTCACAGAAGTCCCCTGGCTGTGGAGACACTGAGCCCTACTGCAGAGGCTGAGGCTTCCAATAGGAAGAATGTTTCACCCAGGCACCTCACTCCATGGGTGCTCGGAAACAGTAGGCACTGCCCAGCCCTTGGCCCAGGCCAGCCGCCCCACCTGCATCTTCCCATTAGGAGCCCTCATGGGTCTCCGTGCGCGCCAAGAGGGCCCTGGGGGAGCTCCCCCACTCACCTGGGCAGGGTGGTGCCTTCACGCTGACTCAGAGGAGAGGGCGCTCTTCCACTCCAGCGAGCTCTGGGGAAGACTGGCCCTTCTTCCCCTCCAGTCACTGCCTCTGTTGGCCTCCAAGTGCCTAGGGATGGTCTCCTGAGGCCAGAGCATGCTGTCTTCCCCATCCCCTCAGCCCCGTGCACCCTTCAAACCCCAAGGGTTCAGAACAGCCAGATTTCAGCCAAGGCCTGACACCTCTGATGAGATACAAAACAAACGACTGCCACATTGAGACTGTGTGCAGGATCCTTGGTGGTGGGTCACATGTGGCAGTCCTGCCCTCTACCCTATGTACACCATACCACGACACGACATCTGAGGAGAAAGCGCTACAGAAAGCCACGCCAGGCACTTAGCTCAAAGCACAGCCTACACGGTCAGCCAGACAGGTGGTCCACCATGGGCTGCTGTGGCGCTGCTGGCCTGGCATGGGGAGGGTCTGCACTGGGAGGGCCGTTTGTGGCTCCTGCCCACTTAAGCCACCTGGGCCTGCAAAAACTGGCAGCGTTGGTCAAGCCTGCCACACCTCTCTCATGTGTGCTTATGTGTGTTTACGTGTGTACCAGTACTAAGGCTTGAACTCAGGGCCTGGAACCTGTCCTTTAGTTTTTTCACTCAAGGCCAGTCTCTACCCCTTGAGCTACAGCTCTACTTGTGGCCTTTTGGTAGTTCATTGGAGATAAGAGCTGGCTTTGCACTGCAGTCCTCAGATCTCAGCCTTCTGAGTGACGCCTAAGGCAGCCGGCCTCTCAAAGCACTTGCATGCCTTGCCCTGTATACAGTCTCATGGCACCTCTTGGTGCCGAGCACTGGGGAGAGGGAGCACAGGTATCCAAGGGGCCCCTTCCTCCCGATGGTGCATGCGACTAAGAGGCCCAAGGCTCCTGACAAGGCCTTGAAGTTACCCCAGCAGCCCTGGGAGCAACTCCTCTGGTAGGAGGCACTGGAGAGCAGCTCTTAGCAGATGGGGTATGCTGGGGTGAATGCCTGTGAGGGACCCTGCAGGGAGAAGGGAGTCCTGCGTGTTTCATTCTGCCTTGTTTTGTAGGATGGGGCTCTGAGAATCTTTACACACAGGTAGGGGTTCACCCTTCCCTGAAGGGTTGGGGTGGTATGTGCCAGGCTCTTCACCCCACTCCGTTTCCTGGCCCTGAGTTGGGTCAGAGTAAACACACAGTCTCACACTGTTCTGCTTTTTCCAGGAAAGCTGAGTGGACTCTACTGTCAGCATCTCCACTCTGTGTCCCCTGACCAGAAAGGCCTCGCTCTACTTGATGCTCTCCAGCACCTGTTGGCTCTTGTTTGCTTGGGGGGGTCCTCAGTGTAGCTAGAAACTCTGCTTGAGGAATGAGACCCAGTAGTAAGGACCACACCAGACACCAGCCCCATCCCCCACACCCAGACCAGGCAGAGCTGGCAGCCAGCAGGCAGTGCTGTCTAAGATTGCTGGAAACATGGGGTTTCAGGTGGTGGTGATATATTTGTTTTTGCTTTTTTTTTCTTTTGGGGGGCAGGGGAGCGCAGAAAGAGAAGGGGAAAGGGTAAACAAGTACAATCATGCTGTCCAGTAGACACTGTGTGGAAAATAATCTGGGCAGAATGAGAGGGGGGAACGGGGAAAGCAGAGGAAGTGGTGACATTGTCCAAAAAAAGCAATGTACTCATCAGACATAGGAAATGGCAGCCCCACTGTACAACACCTTGATACTAGCAAATTGTATTTAAGAAAAAAGGGGGTAAATGCTGCCCTCTTGTGGCCATGCGGGGATGGCACAAGGCTGTGTAAGAAGGCCCTGGACAGACTGGGCACACACCTGGTGGCTTCGGCACTCCCTGGAGAGCCACCGCCCGTGACCTCTGCCGGAGGGTGGGAAGCGGGGGAGGGGTGTCACAGTGATGGATGTGCGCAGTGGACACGTAGCTCAGCACACCAGGTCCAGCAAAGCCGAGCCCTGCTCCTCCCATGGCTCTTGCTCATTGTCATTGTCATCTGACCTCCATTACAGCACAGGCTCAGCTGACATGTCACATGCAGGATCCAGGCCAGACCTCAGGGGTTAGGGCCCAGTGCCCTGCACATGAGGGGGACCCTAACATGTACCATCCCTGCTCCACAGCCACCCCAAACCTAACCAGTGCTGTCCTTGACTTGCAGGGAGCAGCAGGGAGCAGTGTTCAGGACTCAGACCCTGAGCTGTCCCCAGAGGAGAGGAGGGTCCTGGAGAGGAAACTGAAGAAGGAACGGAAGAAGGAGGAGAAGAAGCGGCTGCGTGAGGCGGTCATTGCCACTGTCCAGGCCCTGCCAGCCAAGCGTTCAGGTGCAGAGCTGGCCCTGGATTACCTCTATGGGTAAGTCCTGTCATGTGGTTGTAGGGCATCCTACCCCTGCCAGGGCGCTGGGCTGGGTGCCAGCTACCCCGGGACAGGACCATCTCCCAGCCTGCCTGAGACCACTTTTGTCTCCTTCGCCTATTGGCTATTGTTGTGTCCTTCCTGTCCTGCAGCTGCAGTTGCCTAGCCCTGTACACGGGTACCTGGAACAACCACCCAGGCCACAATGGCAGCCAGATCAGGCCCCACCCACCCTGCACCCAGAACTCTCTTTCCAGGCAAACCTGATCAAAGCTCCGTGTGGCCTGTGGGGCTGGAGGGACTGGGGTACTTGAAGGTGAACATGCCCCTCGGGAGGGACTTGCCTTCCCAGCAGCCCAAGAGGCAGCGAGGGCTCAGCAGCTTCTGTGCACATGGGCATGGCTGGCCCCCAGCCCTGGGCAGAGCAGGCTGTTTTAGGCCCAACAGAGGGATCCAGGCAGAGCCTGGGGACTGGTGGCTGGGGAGGCTATGTTCTGCCTACAGACAGGAGACTGCTCCCATGGTGGCCACCAAGCCTCTGGGTTTCATCCTGCGCCCCTCTTCCCTCTCTAATCAGTGTATCCTGGAATCCATGTACTGAGGTTTCTGGGGTGGAGGCTCTGTGGCTGACCAGGGTATCCAGAGCCCTCAGAAGCTGGCATGCTTTGAGGGTGACTTGGAGCAGGTGTTGCTAGGCCTGAAGTGCCAGCGAGACATGGGAGCAAACAGATTTCTGTGCACAGGCTCAGACGCCAGAGCAAGCCTCCAGTCCTGGAACCCACTGGGAGCTCAGCCCATGGCAGCTGGGCCTCAGAGCCACATGCCATGTGGCTAGCCCTGCCCTTGTAGGACCAGCATTGTTTCTGAGTGGGCTGGGCCTGGTCCTGGCTGCACCCGCCTATGTCCTCCCTGGAGTATTGACACATCCTCATCTTCCTCCAAATCTGTGTGGAGCCTCTCCCTACATCCCAGAGATGGCCATGCTCAGCCCCACTGTGCCAGGCTGGGGCACCACCACCATCTTCAGAGCTGAGGGACTGGAAGAAAAGTCCAGTGGAATGTTCAGATGGGATATTCTAGATTGCAACTGACCTGGGTGGGTGAACCAGTCATGTGCTATTAGAGGACAGAAAGTAGCCACAGTGATTTCAGTGGGGACAGTTTATTGTAAAGGACAGCTGGAGCCTAGTGTAGTGATGCATGGCCTTAATCCCAGCTACTCAGAAGACTGAGATTGGAAGGATCAAGGTTCAAGGCTAGACAGTCAAAAAGTTAGCAAGACTCCATCTCAACAAGTAAGTCAGGTTTTGTGGCATGGGTCTGTAATTCCAGCTATATGAGGGGCTGTAGGTAGGAAGATCACCGTCTGAGGTTGGCTCTTGGCTAGAAAATAAAGCAAAAAAGGGATGAAAGCCAGACTCAAGTGATAGAGCACCTGCCCAGTGAGTATGAGGCAGGGAAGTGTGGCTGAAGGCCCACTCTGTTTTCCTAGGATCAGCAGTGAGGGGCTCGGCACAGAGATGGTTTAGACCGGTCCCTGGCTAAGAGGCCAGGGTTCCTGTGGGCATTGGTAACTTCCTGGAGCCCCTCAAAGGCCTGCATAAAGCCACCTGCCTGCCACCCTGTCAGGCCATCCTTGTATCAGGACCCCCCCTTCCCTTCCCACTGTCCCACGTGGCCCTCTTAATCCTGCATGCTCTACCAACCCCCTGCCCCCCAGCCCTTCCTCACTCTTCAGCGTCTCTCGGGTGAACAGGGCCACAGGCAACACCTGTGGAGCTGTTCAGGCAGGTGACACCAGGCATTCAGACCTGATACAGAGGCCTGTTCAGGCTGTAACGGAGGCCAATCTCGGGGCCAACCTGGGTGGGTGTCCCTTGTCTCTGCCCCCACGTCAGCAGGGAAGCCCTCTCCTCACTGTCCATCTCACGATCCAGAGGCATTGTGGCCCTGACCCCACATGCCCTGGGCCCGAGGGAAGAGGAAAGGCCGTGGCCTCTCCTGCCACAGATGCTGCTCAAAGGATGGCTGGTGCAGGAGATCAGGAGTCTTATGGTGGCGTCCTCTAGTTTTTCAGTCCTGCTCCAGATGTGGGCACCACAGAGGGTGGGAGGCCCCATGCGAGCGTGCTGAGGTGGCCCTGAGCCTCAGCCAGACTTGTCCCATGACACAGTCCCCTTGGGTGGGGAGGAGTCCCATGCCATTCACAGCCCCTGGGATCTTTGTCCAGTCTGAGATCAACCCTGCTCCCCAGGTGGGCCCGGAAGGACGCGAGCTGGAGATTCCAGAAGACAAGGCAGACCTGGCTGCTGCTGCACATGTACGACAGAGACAAGGTCTGTGTGCCGTGGCGGTGGGTGGGTCTCCCACGCAGCCAGGGCCAGGCACATGGTCTGGCTCAGCTGCAGCAGCAGGGAAGGACTGTCCTGGAGGTCCTGTGTGGTTTGGTGCCAAGTCTTTCCATGTCGGACACACCAGGACCCTGCTCCCAGCCACACAGCCCAGGTGCGCGCGCGCACGCACGCGCGCACACACACACACACACACACACACACCAATCTCAAGGCACCTGCCTGTGCCCACGTGCAGAGCCAAGTGCCTGCTCTGGAGTGCCATGGTTCTATAGATTGAAATAGTATTGTTGTTGTTGTTTGTTTTGTCCATTGAGGATCTTGAACTCTGGGCCTGGGCAATGTCCCTGAGCTCTTCAGCTCAAGGAGAGCGCTCTACCACTTGAGCCACAACACCACTTCCAGCCTTTTGGTAGTTAATTAGAGATAGGAGTCTCACAGACTTTCCTGCATGGATTTGCTTCAAATCATGATTCTTAGTTTTCAGCCTGCTAAGTAGCTAGAGTGAGCCACCAGGGCTGGGCCTGGCATCTTGTCTGTCCCTGGAGGCCCCACCAGGCTGAAATGTTCCTCTTCTCCCTCAGGTTCCTGACGAGCATTTCTCTACCCTGCTGGCCTACCTGGAGGGGCTGAAAGGCCAGGCCAGGGAGCTGACCGTCCAGAAGGCTGAGGCCCAGATGCAGGAGTTGGATGAAGTGAGCGAGGATGCCGCCCTGCTGGAGAAGGCTGGGCGCCTCCGGCAGGTGTTACAGCTACTCTCCTAGCAGACGGATGGGGGCTTGGACGCCACCGGCAACCCTCAGGGGGCACTGACCACCTCCCTCAGGGTGCTGTGGGAACAAACAGGCCACCGGCAGGTCAGCTGCACAGGTCTGAGGCTGCCCAAAGCCATGGGCTATTTTCAGAGAGTCTCTGAACCCTCAGCAAGGTCTGGGTCTTTGCATAGCACATGAGTCCCACCACATGGCTCCAATTCCAGGACATGGCCATTGAGCAAAGTCTGTTGTTTTGTTTTTTAACCAGCAACATCTTAAAAACTGGCCAGTGGCTGGCCCTCTAAGCCAGCCAGAGCTCCACTTTGGGGTGTGGGGTTCACCAAGTTGGCCCTGAGTGTTTGGTCCAGAAACCCTCCAGCACAGCTGACCACAGCACCATCCCCTGCCTCACATCCAGTCCCTGCCTGGCTTCCTGGAATTCCTGTGGTGGGGAACATGAGCTGCCTGGCCACGTTTACAATAAAAGCGGCCAAGGCCCTGCTCTGTAGCTCACTCACTCTCTCCTGGGTCAGCATCAGCCGTAGCCGTGGCCTCCCCAGGGTGGAGGCCAGCTTCATAGGGACATTTCTAGCCATCTGCACTGACTGACCACTGCTCCAGGCTACCTTCTCCAGCAAGGGTTGTCTCTCTGTGTTCCCCACAGAGCACGGCCCATAGCTCAGGGTGAACAGGGTATACAACCAATTGGGTGGCCAGCAGGGAGGTTGACGTGGCCAAGGTGCTAGCCAGGGCCAGTGGGGCTGAGGCCAGGCCAACCCACCCCCAGGCCTTGGGCCTAAGGATGCCTCCTAGTAGTTCAGTAAGAGCAGGCCACGGCTTGCCACAAAGCAGGCCATTCAGGCCACAGCTGCCAGTTTGGGGGGGTAGCCCCTCACCCAAGCAGTGGGTCCGTAGCCACCTCTACTACCCTCGGGCGTCCCGCCACAAACGTCACCACTACCAGATGCCAGTGGCTCAGCCTGTGATCCTAGCTACGCAGGAGGCTGAGATCTGAGCATCGTGGTTTAAAGCCAGCCCAGCTGTGAGACTTAACCTCCAATTAACTACCAAAAAAGCTGGAAGTGGCACTGTGGCTCAAGTGGTAGAGCTCTAGCCTTGAGCAAAAGAAGCTCAGGGACAGCACCCAGGCCCTGAGTTCAAGCCGCAGGACCAGTAAAAAAAATAAAACAGAGGTAGAGTTGTGACTTAGTGGTAGAGCACCAGCTTGAGTGGAAAAGCTACCGGAAAGGATAGTGCCAAGGCTCTGATTTCAAGCCCATCACAGGTACACAAATGCATGTACACACATACCAACAACAAAGGCAAGGTGACCAAGAGCCTGCTGTGGCCTATCCCATGGCTGGCCTCTGCTCTGAGAGTAGGGTTAAAGGACTGGCCCAGGGCCTCTGTTCCTCACATGCCACCTGCATCCCTGGCTCTGAGGAGGCCACAGGGATCAGGGTCTCCTCCCCTAGCAGCCAGTGCCCCTGTGGGTGCCTTCACCCTGTGCTGGCTTATAGCACTGCTGATGTCTAAGCCTCAGTCCTGCGGATGCTGGTGAAGTTTGCAAGCCCTGCTGGTGACCCATTTCACAGATGGTGAACTGAGGTCCGGATGGAAGAGGTCTTCCCCAGGTCCCCAGCACATCCAGGCAGATCAGAGGTGGTGAGTGGGTGGGCCTGGTGAATCCTGCCCTGCCAGGAGCTGTATGAATGGATGTTGCATGTAGGGTGCACTGGGAAGCTGCAGGGGAGGCAGCTGAGATATAGGGACCTAAGGTGTGTCTGAGGTGCAGGTCCAGGTGGGAAGAGCCTGGACGTTGCTTAGGTCTGGGGTGGGAGTTGAGGGAACAGGCCAGTTGTCTGCCTTGGGGCCTGGATAGTGGAGAAGTCTATGGTATTTAGGGTATGGGAACCTGGGAGCAATTTGAGGCCTTGGAATACTCAGCCTGTGCTGGCTGTGGGCAAGGTGGGGGCCCCAAGCAAGGGGCTACCACACCACCTCATCAGGGGTATCCTGGGCTGTGGAAAGCCAGGGTATGGAGGAGGGTACCCTAGTGCTTCCCCTGTTGGATCGGCCTGGCCCGGGGCAGCACTCGCAGGGCCTGGGCTGGTGGCCTCATGGTGAAGGCTGGAGTGGGCTCAGTGTTGAGAGCATCAGGGCTGATGCCTGGCGGGGGCAGCAGCTGGAACCGCTGCAGCAGGCCTGCGAACAGCTGGAAGAGTTCCATCTTGGCCAGGCTCTCTCCAATGCAGACTCGGCGCCCTGTGTGGGAAATGGAGCTAGGCAGGCGAATGCCAGGCTGGCTACTGGAGGGGAAGGGAGAGCAGGGGGCAGGACAGAGCTGACAGCTAGGAGCCACAGCCTGGGTACCTGTAGAGAAAGGCAGGAAGGCTGCCCGCTTCACAAAGCGTCCTTCCGAGTCCAGGAAGTGCCCTGGGTTGAACTGGCCTGGTGTCTCCCACTGCGTCTTGTCCAGGAGCACAGAGGTCAGTAAGGGGATCACGGGCGTGCCCTGAGGGCAGGGGTCCCAGTTTGAGTGCCAGAGGCTCCTGGAGCCAGGAGGAGCCAGCTACCCCCACCTGCTGTTATAGTTAGCCCTTGTCAGGTGGCACCCAGGCACTCACCTGGCCACAGCACACAGTGAAAGCCCCCCCAGAAGCAATGGACCCCCCACCAGGAAACAGACAGCAAAGAGCCCCTGGGGACAGTGAGGGAACCCAATCTCTGGCTCTGACACTCCTTGCTTCCAACAAAGGAGAGCTGGCATCCATCCCTGAGACTCAGACATCTTGGGGTCCCAAGGCCCCACCCACCCCAAGTGGGAGGGAAGGCATGAGCCAGTCCCCCCCACCAGTCCTCACCTTGGGGAGCAGATAGCCACACAGCTTCACGCAGCTGGATGTACAGCGGGCTACATGGGGCAGAAGGGTGATGAACCGCTGGGCCTCGTGCAGCACGGCGCAGGTGTAGGGCAGCACCTGCTGGTCCTCTGGCTGGGGTGGCCGCCCATGGCCCAGCACACGGTCCAGTTCCTCCTGTACTCGGTCTGGGCCAGAGGGCAAGAGCCATGTCTCTAGGAGCTCCAGATCCTACCCTAAGTCCCACCCACCGGGGAGGACTCCTCACCTTGCACACCCGGGTGCTTGGCCATCAGGAGCATGGCCCACTGCAGCGTGGCCGATGTGGTCTCTGTGCCAGCCATGAGCATGTCCAACATGCAGGCTAGGACGTTGGCCTCATCAAATAGGCCCTCCTGGTCATCCCCCTATGTGGCAGGTGGGCAGGGTGTGGCTGGAGGTCTGGCGTCCATCCCCACCCTATGACCACCCCAGCTCTGGGCCCTGATGGGTGCATGGGTGGGATTGATGGCATCAGTGTCTGCTGAGCACCCACTCATCTCCCTGTGCCCAGGGCCTGGAGCTGGAAATGAGACAGGGCAGACAAAGACCTCTCCCCCCAGCCCCACCTCCCTGGGTAGGGCCACAGGCCTTGGCCGCACCTGGCCCTGCTGGATCAGAGCATCCATGTAGCTTTTCACAGAGCCACACCAGTCCCTCTGACGCTCATCCAGAAAGATCTTTAGAATGGCCTGCACCTCCTTGATCTTGCGCAGGACGGGCCGATGCAGCTGAAGCAGGGCACCCAGCCAGGGGAAGATGTTAAACATCTGGTTGGAGGACAGGGGGTGGAATGGGGTGAGGAGCAAGCCCTGTGGGGGAACCAGTCACCAGGGACAGGTCCAGGGCCTTTGCCCAGGGCTCTGGCTGCTGTGCTGGTGCCGTGCTGGCTATGGCCACTAGAGGACACTGGGACCCAGGGATTCACGAAGGAGCTGGGTGGCTTTGTGTGAATCTCAGCAGCTGCACCCTACCATGGATTGCTAAAGTAGGAGGGAAGAGGGACTGGTGGCATGGATGGGCCCACGTTTGCTGCCGGTCATCTCCAAGACCCCCACACCTCGCAGGGAGAGAAGCAAGGTGGGCTCAGCACCAGCAGTTGCTCAGTAAATCCCAGCTGCCATCCTGCTGACCCCATGGGGAATCTCACGTGGCACCCACAGAAGGAAGCAGCTGTTCCACTGGCTGGAGCTGCCCGGAAGAACCACAGCTGCTCCCAGCCAGAGCTCTGGGCTTGCGTGGCTCGGCCTGGTGCTCTCTGAGGCTGCAGCCCTGTCTGGCCTTAATGCATACACCACATGCCTGGGACGCTAGGCCAAAACCAGACCTAAGTTTAGGGGCAGCACCGTAAACCCAGGACACAGTGATGCCAAACTCACCTGTTAGCCCAATGAGCTCCCTTCCCATAGCTTAGTGCACTCCTCCTCTCCACAGCTTAACACGCTCCCTTCCTAGGCAACACTAGACCCATTTATTAAAGGCAGTAAATAATCAGCCTCCAACCCCCTTTACCTTGGGATGGCTCTTCTCTGGGGTAACTACCAGCATATAAGGCAATAAGAGCCCCTTAGAGTGATCTTCAGGTCTGGGCAGCTGCAGGACCCTTGTCTACTATTTGTGCAGCAGCCCCTGGCCCTCATGTCCACACCAGGGTCTCTACCTCCTAACCCCTTCTAGCCCCTCCTAAACCTCCTAGGTGATATAGGTCACCCCAGACAATAGCCGGTGCTTCTCCCTTGTAAGAAGGGGTCTTGCCAGCCCCTTTCCCAGCAACAAACCCTTCTTTATTCTCCGTGCCTGGATGTCTGCGTGGTTCTCTGGCAAAGTCCACTCTAACTTCACCCCTCTGGATGTCAGAACTGGGTTTTGTGACAGCTGTGTTATGAATGACCAATGAAGAGTGCAGGAGAGGAAGAGGCCCTCTTCCCCTGTTATGTCTAGTACTGGTGCGTATGTGTGGAGAAAATGGGGGGCCGTTGCTCCCGAGTGCACAAATCAAAGGACAGCAGGTTTGACCACAGGGCTAATGACTGGGGTGGGAAACTATGAGATGTCCTTGCAGTACTGGTCTCATAGTCCAGAGACAGGGCCCCCTCCCCAGCTTTTTTTTTGGGGGGGGGGCCTACTGTGGCAGGACATTGGCCTCTTACCTGTACACTGGCTGAACCCATGAGAACCATGACCTCATCAATGAGACCCAGCAGGGACACAAACATAGGGTCCTGGTACTTGAACCTCTGGCCAAAGAGGAGCATGAAGGTGATGTTGGAAGGCGCCCAGCCCAGCTGGGCCAGGGGAAAGGGCCGGCCTGGGGAGGGGAAGACAAGCGTCAGGTGGGGAGGGGGTCCATGGAAAGACGACCAGCCCCAGCTCGCCTCCATAGCTGTCCAGCCCCAGCTCACCTCCATAGCTGTCCAGCCCCAGCTCACCTCCATAGCTGTCCAGCTGCTCCGTGAGACACGCCAGCTCCTGCAGCACCTTGTCGGCCATGGACCCCTGTCCCACGCCCAGACCATGCAGCGCACGTACAGTGAACTGCCGGGCTGCCCTCCAGCGCCCCCCAGAGGAGAAGAAGATACCTGCAGGTAGTCAGCATGTTCCCCTCTTGTGATGGAAAAGAGCCCCTGGGCACCTGTCCTGCCTGGACCAGCCTAGGAAAGCCAGGCCCCTCCCCACCTGGCGGGGAAATGCACCTACCCCCGCCTTGCTGGATGAGCTGAAAGATAGGAATGGGTGGTCTGTCAGCCAAGTCCTGCCCAGTTCCCACCAGGGCCTCCTTCACCGCCTCGTAGCCCGTCAGCACTACGGTTTTCTGGAGTCCCAGGTGGACAGTGAACACTGGACCGTAGCATTCTGAAAGCTGGTGGGGAGCAGGCAGGGCTGAGCCAGGAACCCCCATCCCAACCCTCCCATATCCATGACCCACCTCGGGTCTCCAGCCCTCAGCTCACAGTAAAGACAGGCAGAGGGAAGCAGTGTGTGTGCCCTGAGCCACCCTCCCCTAGGGGTCAGCCTGGTACAGCAGTTAGGCAAAGCCCAGCCCAGGACTTGTCTCTGCCCCCAGCCCACCGAGGGATTAGGAGCACAGTGGATGCCCCGGAGGATGCTGCTGTTTACTTGTTAGCTTCTAGGCCACAACCAGGAGCAACTGCTTTTGGAAACCTATAATTCTCCCTAAAGGCCCCCTACTCCAGGCAGCCCAACATGCCTGCCACCCGTGGACAGCCTTGGCTGTACCGTGGGGCTGCCGGACCTACCTCCATCAGCCACCGGTCTTGTTGGGACACCCGCAGCAAGTTCAGGTTCCCCACGATGGGCAGTGGGCAGGGTCCAGGGGGCCATCGTGGGGCTGGAGAGGGGGCCTGGCCAGAGGCACTGAGTAGCCACCAGAACCCCACAACCAGCAGCAGCCCCCCAAGCCCTAAGACTAACAGGGCCATGCACTCAGCGGACAGGGAGGCCCCAGCTCCCCGGGGCCCCGTCAGCCCTGCACCTTATAGCTGCCCTCCCCAGGGTGTGCCGCACCCCACCCACCCTACCACCCTGAGAATGTGGAACAAGCAGTTTACAGGGGCCCCAGCCGACCATGACTTAAAGTGACAGGCTGTTTAGAATGTGGAGTTGGCTTCATGGCGGGGGGCGGGGGCCCTTGAGCTGCAGAGGCTTGGTGGGGGGTGAGGGGGTCCGAGGGCCACCTGGAGCCAGGCCACCAGGATGCCTGTGTCCCCACGATGTGTGCCAGGCCCTAAAGCCACAGCGCCCTGGCTGTCCTATCCTTGACTTCAGACCTGCCAGTTCTGCATGGTGTCTCCACTGGAGTGGGACTGGGGTCGTAGCTCTGAGAAGGGGGATCTCATTACTCCTTCAACTCTGAGCCTCCTGCAGAGGGATTCTAGGGGTGGCAGGTTCAGGGGATGCCATGTACCACACATGGAACAGTTCTCCAATCGATGCCACACACACCCCCTCCCCAGCAACCCCTTCCCCCTTCCCCGCCACCCTGGAAGGCCCCAAGCCCCAGGTCTGCAGAGGGATGACAATGCCATCTGGTGGCCATGCTTGCCAATGCAAGCTCAGCAGGAGCTGCCCTTGGTGTAGGCTTTCTCCACCCCCCCCTTTTTTTTTCTTTTTTGGTCAGTAATGGGACTTGAACTCAGGGCCTAGACACTGTCCCTGTTCAAGGCTAGTGCACTACCACTTTGGGCCACAGCACCACTTCCAGTTTTCTGAGGTTAGTTGGAAATAAGAGTCTCACAGCCTTTCTTGGCCAGGTTGGCTTTGAACTGTGATCCTCAGATCTCAGCCTCCTGTAGCTAGGCATGAGCCACCAGCACCCAGCTCTGGTGTGGGTTTTCAAGGGCTACCACTTGTCAGGGACAAGGGTCACTGCTATCCCAGGCATGGACAGAACAGGACAAGGAGCTTCTGCCAGCTGCCGAGAGGGGTGACCCTTCAGACTTCAGCCAGGTTGGGCAGGCTTGCTCAGCGGCAGGTAGCAGCTTTATAGCCCTGTCTTTCTGCCCCCCAGTTATATCCTCCAAGCCCTTGTTGCTGGGCTGAGGAGGCAGCACACTGGGAATGTGCTGGGAGGGGCTGGTGGCTGTTGGCAGCAGAAGTGGCTGGGCCTGATTCACACCACCTGCCCCAACATGAGGCAGAGTCCTGTCCCCCAGCAGGGGCCCCTTACTGGGGGGCTGGCTCCCAGGGGATCATCCACACCCAGCAGGGGCCCCTTACTGGGGGGCTGGCTCCCAGGGGATCAT